ATGGCTTGAATGCCCAGAAAAGACGCTTGAATTGGTGCTTGTTACCAGGCACTGGCGGTTGAATTTCTTCATCTTGGTAGCGAGGCGAGAAAATGGTGCCAGGGTTAGACACCTCCAATGCCAAAATCAATTTGGGAAGGAATGCATATGATTCTTCCCAGTCACCAAACACGACAAACATTGCTTTCTGTTTCCCATGCCACGCTTTCTTGTAGTTAATGATATAACCATAACAACTAGAAATGTGGGCGATGATGGTTTTCACCTTCAGGTCGGGCTGCTCCTCAATTAGATGTTTGATAGCCGCAACAACCACCCTTGATTTCAACTGTCGATGGCCTTGGGATGTTATTGATGACACATGTGTGTGTGTGTTCACCGCACGGGATATGACCCAATGGCCGACTCTCTTGCTCTTGATGGCCCGGACCCTAGCTTTGCATCCCTCATTTTCATTTTTGCATCGAACCATCAGCCTCTTTCTGTTGGAATGGGTTGTTTGCCATTCAAAAATCCGAGTCATTGCTTCAGTGGAAATAGCGTGTCGGACCTCATTCTTCGTTGCAAATTGTTGGCCCTTCGTAAAGCCAGTGAGTGGACCCCATACTGGCACCTCTGGCGGGTCCATGTCGGCTTCTACATACCAATCTTCATTTTGAATGTGATTGTAGTATGGAATAGGTACATGGTCGTGAGGTACCTCATCACCATCTGCGTCTGAATTTGGACCGGAATCATTAGCACCTTCCAGCGGATCGAAGCTGTCTGCACTAACTTCGCCTTCCTCTTCTTCAACCTCAGGGTCACTAACTGGAGTTGGATTGACCTCTTCTTCCATATGATTATCATCATGAAAGGCACCTTTACCTTCACCAGCTCCGTAATGGTAGTTGTGGTAACTAACACCGCTTTGATAGAAGTTGTAATCGGGTGGGTACTAGTAGCCTGCTTGTTGGTTGTGATCCGCCTGTTGAGCTTCTTCTTCATATGAAGGGAAGGATTGATGACTTCCTCCAGTTCCATGATGATACTCCTGCCTCCAGCTCGAGTCTTGGAAATCCTGGTGGGGATGATCTTCGTATAATACACTCCCACCGTGGATACCATATGTTTGGCCATCTCTAGAATGACCTACACTGGCTTCGACGGCCTCGTTGTAAACGAACATCTCCGCTTGCTTAATTTTATTGGTGGTCAAAAATTGGACCAAGGCATCAACGTCCTCCTGAGTGGTAAGGAGGAATTCCTCATTCCACAGCTACCCATCATGTCTGTTTGGATATCGATACACCATTTGATCAACTCTTCTAGTGCCATCCATGCAGGTAATCTGAGTGCACATTTGATGGAGCTCTTCAAGCATCGGTCTCGTACGGACCTTCATTTTATAAAAATTTCCACCGACGTAACTTACACCCTTTTCGGTCTCTTCCGTGTAACCATTCCACCGCAACCCAAGCGTGAACCTTTGGAATGCCATCTGCAATGAAAAGTAATACAAGTTACTAACATAAAATTACAAAGGACAATGAAAAGTAATTAAGTTACTAACATAAAATCACAAAGGACAATGAAAAGTAATACAAAACAAACTTACGAATTAACGTTAATCGCAAAAACTAAATAATTTAAAGGTGCAAAACTGAAATTTGAAGAAGGAATAGGAGGAGTGTGAAGAATATGAGTTCTCTGAAACAGCCTTTTATAGGCAAATTTTGCAGCAAAACCGGGGGGGGGGGGGGGGGGGGGGGGGGGGGGGGGGGGGGGGGGGGGGGGGGGTAGGTCTGCCATGCAGCCCCACTCGCTGCATGCCGACATGTTTGCTGTCGGGTGACCAGGCACAAACCGCGCCTTGGGGCAGCGATTTATGTCTGGACATGGTAAACCGCCGCCTGGTGGGGCGGTTTATCATGCCGACATTTAAACGCTCCCTTTTGAAGCGTTTTGTGGTAGGGTTAGTATATAATCGCGCCTTCCAGAAGCAGGTTTTGCTGGAAATTAAAAACGCCTCTTGGCGAGGCGGTTATATTGTAAACCGCTGCCAGGAGGTACGGTTTTAATGTTAACCGCTCATTAGAGGCGCGATTTTAAATAAACGATGGTATTTTTGGAAATTGTTGGGAATGGGTGGTACTTTTGTAATTTTTTTTAAACAGTGGTAGTTTTGGATTTTTTCCCCAGTAAGATGAGGAATCAAATTTCAGTATTTTCACACATGTCGTTCAAAAATAAACACCCTTCATTGGATTTTAACTAAATACTTCACATTCATTAGTTTCAATTATACAAAGATAAGTTACAAACAACTTTTATATATATATATATATATATATATATTAACCTTATATATTATATAACTAATGCTATATTTCATATAAATACCTGTAAACATTGATAAAATTTATTTTATATACTTTTATTTTTATTTTTACGTATATAATTGTCTACTGTTAGTTACCAATTCTTAACTATAAATTGTTTTGTGTGAATTAACTCTTTCAATTGCTTCTTCCTAATTTATTTTATTTTAATCGATGAATTCCATTTTACTCATGTATTTTATTAAAACCAGCAGAACTGACATATACACCGACTATACCACGGCACATCGACATCAGCTGATTTGACTACCTTGCATTTTACAACTAATTTTTTAGTTAAACGTGAAAGCAAATTTAAATGGGAACTACGAAAGAGAAATGTTCCTTTCCCTTTCTTCTTTTTCACCACTTTCTCAATTTCTTTCCTCTTGCATTTTGCATTCACTCTCCTTTTCCTTTTCACTATTCTCTCACGGCTCGAAGTTTGGTACCAGTATTTGATATATACCGAATATCGTATTGAATTATCATTGAATACCGGCTTGTTTTTTAGGGATTGAGATTGAGATTCATTTCAGAGTGCTATTCGGTATTCAGGATTACAAGATTGGGATCGGTAATACCTACAAACACCGAAAATTAAAAATTAATGAAATATAGCACACAATCTTTGGTCATTCCTCACTCTTTAACAACTTAGAACCCTCCATCCATCTCAATTTTGATTTTTTAGTTTAACCACTCTCGTCTCTCACCTCATCTCTTGTCTACACAATAAATAAAAAGAAAATGGGGAAACTTGAAACCTCATTTCCAATTTCATGCATCGCGAAAGTAGGAAGAGTAGATTAATCTTCACAATCATTTATTATTTTCTTATTTACATGAAAAATACATCAATAATGGGATTTAAAACCTGGTCACTTCGAACTAAAATAAGAAACACAACTATTTACACGAACCAAATTTGTTAAATATTTTTAAATTAAAACATACATGAAGCTTAAATTTGAAAAATACAAAATACACTTTCATAGCCATAGCTATTGGCGTTGTGACAAATATAGCCAAATTTTGAAAAATACACTCATATAGCCACTTTTGAATACTTGATTGACAACTTTAACCATTTTCGTTATAAACTTTAAGACTGTTAATCTTCAATGATGTGGATATACACATCATCAAATGTATGCCACTTGTATTTAAATAATTTCCTTAATTATTTTTTGGGTTATAGGTATCATATGCCCCTCTACTATGACGTTTTGTCAAATATGCCCTTCTACTATTTTTTTATATCAAAGATGCCCCTCTACTTTATAAAAATGATCAAACATGCCCTTTTGTTTAAAATTTCATCCAAAAATCGTTAACCAAGGTCGAACTTTGGTTTGGGCGGCACAAATATCTAAAACAATGCAGTTAAAAGCGCGATTCTACCTAGAAGCGGAAAATGGGTAAAATCGTAAAACGTAAAATCAAAGCGTAAAAGCGTAAGTATTTGACGCACCCTCTAAAATAGCTAAAATATGTTAAGTACAACATATAGTATGTAAAATGTGAGTGTGTAGATTTTAGATAAGTGAATAACTACATGAAATTCATAATTAAAATGTGATATTTAACACATAAACTATTTGTGTTGACTCAAAAGTAGAGAAAACTCATAAGATCTTAATAATAAGCTCATAAACGTAGATCGTAACCCGTAAACGAGCTTGAGAATCCAAATTCACATAAGTTGGTTTGAGTTTACATAATTAATACGATCAATTACCCATAAACTTTTATCGTAACCCAGGTATGAGCCACAAGTGAAGATTAAGGGAGAAGACTGATAGAAGGTCAGCGGCTGTTGAGAATACCATTAGGTGTCTTTTCAACCTAATGTGAAGCCCCTATCTCGACACTAGTTGTAGAATGAGTGATGAATCCTGTTTTCCTTTTTATTTTTATTTTTTGCTGATATGTCTCCAAAATTATATCATTTTGGGCCAATTGGCACATGTTTATGAGATGATCATAATCGTATAAAAACGCTTTAGAATCGCGATTTTACCGATTTTAAGCGATTTTACCGATTTTACTCATGTTTTTACCAGTTTTTGTGACTAAGCGACTTTAGGCAGAAACTGAAACGTTTTGGTGGCCTGGATACGTAAAAACGTAAGTTTTTATGTTTTAATGCGCGATTTTGACTGCACTGATCTAAAATATTCCTAATAATTTCACTTTAGGATTATTTTTTTGTTCTTTTGTATAGCCAAATAATTCAAATAATTTAACTTTCAAGAGACCCAGAGAAATAAAACGGGAGACAAAACTGACATTTTCGCTCCCATTTGCCGATGCCGGGTTGTCTAAATCTCGATTCAACCATGATTGACGATTTTTTCAATGGAAATTTTGACAAAGTGGCATGTTTGATAATTTTTTCAAAGTACAGGGGCATGTTTGATGTAAAAAATAATAGAGGGGCATGTTTGATAAAACGTCATAGTAAAAGGGCATATTATACCTATAACCCTTATTTTTTTCACCACTATTATAATAAGAAGAAAAAATCATTTAATTTTTTTTTCCAGTCATCCTTTCCCCTTCCCCATGGAGAGAGCAGAGAACAAGATCCAATCTCCGCCTGTCACTCTCCGATCCACCGACCGGTCTCCCTCTCCGTCATTTGGAATTCTTTCCTTTCTTCATCCCCGAGCCGTCGGTCTTGTCGTTGCCGATTTCATCCTCTCTTCTTTCATTGTTTGTCATCCAGACTCGGTAACTTTGGGTTGGGGAAGAAGGAGTCATCTGCCGCTGGCCGCTGCATACTGCACCTCGCCAGTCAGAACCCTGAATCGTCGTTGAGCATCCCCTCCCTTCAATCGTCAACAACGCAATTGCAGAACCCATCCTCTGCTAGACACTTTCTCCTCTTCCTTTTTGTCGTACCTTGAATTGTCGATTAGCATATACTTCAATTATCTTTTGCCGCCGTCGCGGTGCGGGTGGTGGGAGGTGAAGAGAGGAAGGTAAGAGAGGGAGAAGGGACAATTGGGGAGATTTCTTGTTCGAAATCGAATTCTAGGAGATGCGTTCTTGTGGGGTTTGTGATTTTGGCCTGGCAAAGGGAGAAAAAGGGAGAATTGGTCGGTTTGTGGATTACCAGATGTCAAGGTTTGAGAACTACCGTTGATGGGTGATAGACCGTTAATTACACATGTTTTCACCCCTGTTCTTACACCGTTTGAGATGTGGTTTCTCGTGTTTTAGACCGATTTCACGCTAGGTTGTGCTTGTTTGTAATATTTCAGGTCCTGGCAAGTGAATGAAGGTTTAGGAGCGAGTTCGGGGTCGATTGGGCGAAGATCGGGCGCGAGGCAAGTCACAAAGGAAGCCACATGGGCACACCCACAACCCACACGGCCGTGCAAGTGACCAGTTTGGCCTTGTGGGATTGTGCGAGACCTCACACGGGCACAGATAATTTCCACACGGTCGTGTGAAGTTGCACTTTGGCAGTGTGGAATTCTGCGAGGCTTCACACGGCCAGGCTGGGTGAGCTACACGGCCGTGTGACCCTGGCCGTGTAAGAAGCCTGGAATTCAACTAATCGATACACAGCGTTTGGAGACACACGGGCAACTGGGTGGGCCACACGGCCGTGTGGCCTGCCCGTGTGAGTCGGGATTTTCTGTTTTTAAGCCAATTTCCAGCCACAAGTCGGGGGGATTCGAGTTTTAGAGAGACAGAGCGATTCCTAGAGAGAGAAAGCGACGAACAAGAGTCTCCAAGTGCCTTAGCTTGACCTTCATCACCATTGGAGCTTGGCTTGAGCTTGGAGAAGTGTCGATCAACGTCCAGGAGCAGGAATCCATCCTTCAGAGTCTGAAGACCTTTAGTCGAGACTTCAGGCTGTTTAAGAACCTTCCGCAGTATAACTATCATAGAAACTGAACTTGGTAATTACAATCCGGCTTAACTGCAGTCTAGGGGGAACCATATCCGGGTGACCTCTCTTAACTTGAATACAACCGTTTGCTTGCTTTGTTAGTTTGTTAGTTTAGACTTGCATTAAATTTTCATTGCTAGATAACAAGAATTCATTGAGTAGTCATCAAATCTAGGACCCGGGTTGACATTTAAACCCAAACCCGCTATACTACGCTTTAGGAAGTGGTTTCACTTGGCCAATTCCTGGAGTGACAATAGAAGTGAGTCAAGTTTTTGGCGCCATTGCCGGGGAAGGCTAGGTTGTTGAAGAAAAGTGATTTCTGTTAATTTAGCTTTTCTTTTCGCTTTGTTTGCTTTGTCCCACTTGTGCCTTCACGGGTTTTCTTGCTTGAGTGTGTGCAGGTAGTGCATGACCCGTAGCCAGTCGGGAGGTTTACTGCCGTTGAATCCAGAGATTGACCGCACCTGTCGCCAACTCAGGAGACAACATCGAGCTAGACTGGCTACGGAAGAGTGCATAGACGGCCACCTGAGCAGCGATTCTGAGGAAGAGTACGGGATGGACGAAGAATACAATCCACACCAGGGGAATCCTCAGCAGGCTCCCCCCGGGAAATCAGGTCCTGGGGAACAACCCCATACCCCAGGATCATGGGGCTCATCATCATCCACCGCTGCCGGGTCCCACCTTGGAGTACTACTACACTCCACGGATTGCTGACATCCGCCCGGTCATCCTCTACCCACCTATTCCAGCAAACAACTTCGAGATCAAGCCATGCTGGATTCAGCTCATTACATCCTCTGTCCAGTTCCATGGCTTGAAGGATGAGGAGGCCAGGGTGCATCTTTCCCGTTTTCTGCAGCTGACGAACGGGTTCAAGCTTAATGGTGTCCCTGATGATGCAATCCGCCTTCATCTCTTCCCCCATTCTCTGGCGGGGAATGCTAAGAGGTGGTTGGAGACCCAGCCCCCATTGTCCATCACCTCTTGGGACGATCTGGCTGACAAATTCGTGCACAGGTACTATCCGGCATCGAAGACTACAGAGATCCAGCGGGAGATCACTCACTTCCGCCAAGAGCCAGATGAGTCACTTCGTGATGCTTGGGTGCGGTACATGGGATATTTCTGGCAGTGTCCCCATCATGGCTTCAGTGATGCATTCACAGTGGGGAACTTCTACAGTGCTCTCTCTCCGGACAGCCAGCGGGTGATTGAGTCTCTATGCCCAGGAGGGGATATTCTTACCAAGACTCCACCAGAGCTGAACCAGATGATCAATACCTTGGCTGCCAGAGATCATTCTTGGGGACAGAGTAGCAGAGGCAGACATTCCCGGGACCGTGGTGTGCACGCCATTGAGACCAGATCCGGGCTTGAGCAGCAGGTAGCTGAGTTGGTGCAGACATTGAAGCAGCCCAACAGTCTGATTCCGGGCAGAGGTTTGGCTACACCTCCAGTAGCTCAATGTCAGTGGTGTGAGAGCTCAAATCACTTAGTGGAAGACTGCCAGGCTATGAGGGAGTCTACTACTCCCCAAGAGCAGTTGGACTTCATCGCCAATGCTCGGCGCCTCGACCCGTACAACAATACATATAATGAGGGGTGGCGCCAGCATCCCAATTTCGCCTGGAGCAGCAACACCACTAAACCACCTGGTTTCCCAGCACCAGCCGGTGGTTTTCAGCAGAGGCAGCCCTTCCAGGCTCGACAGGGGCCAGCCCCACAGCAGCAGCCCTACCAGCCTAGGCAGGGGCAACCATTCCAGCAGCCTTAGCGCCAGTTTGCCGAGCCAGCAGCAGCTCCTGCCCTAGATGATCAGATGACAAGCTGGAAAATATTCTAGCCTCATTCATGACTAGCACTCAGGCAACTATCACGAGGTTGGACCAGAGCGTAGCCTCACTGGAGGCAGGTCAGAGGAACCAAGGTGCCATCTTGCAAGATCTGCAGCACCAGGTGGGTATCTTGGCCCGCCAAAACACTACCAGAGCACCGGGGAATCTGCCTGCCACCACTATTCCGAATCCTCGTGATCCTCACCAGCATTAGTAACTGGATGCCATTTTCACCATGAGCGGTAAGACCATATCTGCTGATCCTGTCCGGCCAGGCAGGAGGAACCACTACCTGCTTCCGCACTTCCAGCCGATGATGCAGAGTGCGGGTGGAGAAGGAAGCCCCTGCTCCCAAGCCACAACCAGTGGTTAAGGAGCATGTGCCCCAGCTTCCTTTCCCCACTCACCTACACAAAGACAAGCTGGAAACTGAGTTTGCCAAGTTTATGGCAATGTTGAAGCAGCTCAACATCAGCATACCGTTCGTGGAGGCACTGTCGAAGATGCCCAAGTATGGCAAGTTCATGAAAGACCTCCTCACCGACAAGAAGAAACTTGGGGATCTTTCGACAGTGATGCTTAGTGAGGAGTGTTCTGCTATCCTGCAGAACAAGCTGCCCGAAAAGCGCAAGGATCCAGGGAGTTTTACTATTCCTCTTACTATTGGCAGCATGCATGTAGGCAAGTCCTTGGCGGACCTAGGCGCTAGCATAAATGTCATGCCATATAAGTTGTATAAAAAGCTAGACCTAGGTGAAGTTAGCCCTACTAGGATGAGCATTCAGCTAGCTGATCGTTCCATTGTGCATCCTAGGGGAATCATAGAGGATCTGCTTGTCAGTGTCGGTGCATTCACATATCCTGTTGATTTTGTTATTCTTGATATACATGAGGATGTGGACGTGCCTTTGATTCTGGGTAGACCATTTCTTGCCACCGCCAAGGAAATTATTGATGTGCATGATGGTAAACTGATCCTGCGTGCTGGGAATGAACAGGCTACTTTTTCTGTGACTGAATTCGATCACTGTGCTATGATTGCTGTCACACCTGTGCATGCCATTTCTGATCAGGTACACGAGCCTGTCGTGTATCCTTCTGCACCTCTTATTTTGCAGGACCCTTTTCTCATTCCTTCGCCGCCACACCATCCAGCCTCGCCTTCGAACAAAAATCTCAAGGAGGAGTGGCGGCCGAAGCAGCAGGTTGCTAAGCCTGCACGGAAGAAGGGTGGAGACCACTACGAGCTGGTCCCACCTCCTGCACCACGACCACCCTGGCCGTCTAGGTACTCACTCTCCTGCATCTTACCGGATGGCCAGGTTGAGCTGACCGATGATGGTGGTCGCATCCGTCGGGTGCATGGCCACAACCTGAAGCTGTACCTCAAGAGCGACGTTGATCCGCTCTTGAAGACACCTATTCCTGCACCTCCCTGAGTATCCACCATGGGCGTCCAGCTAAAAGACGGTAAAGAAGCGCTTGTGGGGAGGAAAACCCACCACGGTTTAACTTTCTTTCTTGTGTTTTGAGTCGGATTGTAAACCGGTTTGGTTTTGGATGATGTATTATTGGGCTGACCATTGGACCTAACATATTGTGTTTGAGCTCTTCTGTTCCCCTTTAGCTGTGCTTTGTTCCAGACTGGTCCCTCTCCAGTCCGCTTCACTTGACTGGTCCGCTTCCAGTCTCCTGCAGTCCGTGCATACCGGTAACATCGTTTCCCTTTTCCTTCCCTCTTCTCCATTGAGGGCAATGTCGATCTTAAGTGTGGGGGGGATGTTTATCTTTTGACTGCATTATATCTGTTTGTGTGCTTGGAGCCTAGTCCACTGTCCAAATTTTTAAATTTGAGGGCTCCTAGTACGTGTTCCTTGCAATTGCCTGCTCAGTATGCTTTGAATTGACAGTCTTTATAGTAATATGCAACCTAGGGAGGTAGTGTAGCACTATGGAGGATGTTGATGCATTTAAGAAGTCTCATTTCTTCGTCATATTGTGTTGGTTGATTGAGTGAATTAGTGATCTTAGGACCTTTGAATTGTGTGGTGTTGTGGACTCTCCACCTGTCATGGACTCTTGTTTCATGTTTTGAGTTTAACAGGTGCTCGAAAATG